TTAATGCGCCGCGCCTTTAGGGCTTCGGGGTACCGGACCACAATGGCTGGAAGCGCCAGCCAAAAAAATTTCAAGACGGTACCCCAGCGCTTCGGCGAAAATTGGCACGCAGGGGCATTCCAGGCTCGGCATCGATAGCTGGGCCAAGTACTGGTGGTATAAAGATGGCGCTAGTGTGAGGGCACCCTAAGTGCCCACCCAGGACCCGCTGTAGATGCAGTCGGATACATTAAAGATGGTGCTAGCGTGAGGGCACCCTAAGTGCCCCTAAAGCGGATACGAAACAGTCAAACACCCTAGCTACCCTCTTCAACAGCAGGCCTATCCCATGCCATCCAAGAATTTGTAATGTGTGCTATGCAAGGCTGGGCGCAAGTAGGTGGGGTGCAAAAGGAACACCAACTGGTGTCGTGCAGGAGCAGCTAACCACCCCAATTGGAATGAGACCCACTAACCTCTCCATTTTGTGCAACACCTGCAGCACCTGAGCTCTGACCAACTGAGCCCGCGCATTCCATGTCTTTTTTTTTTTTTCTTTTTTTTTTTCCACTATTTCTAACACTCTGGTGGTGGTCATCTACCCTGGAGGTGATAAGGGCGCCCTCCAGGGTCAGTGCCCTGCTGTAGATGGGGCCGGCCTCTTTATGATACGGGCACCCTCCAGGGTCGGTGGTCGTCTACCCCCTGTAGGTGTGGTCATCTACCCTGGAGGTGATAAGGGCACCAGCACATGCATGCCAGAAACTGGGTCCGGCGCCCCCATAAATCAAATGAATTTCCACAGTTGGGCAAAAAAGTACGACAGCGTTGATTACCCTGGAAGACCCAGGAGATCGACTGCCTACTCCCGCACATTTTTTATGATAACTTGATAAGTGTATCACAGGACATCATTGACATCTTTCAAGACGCTGGCAGATGGACCGAGTGATTGAATGACATGGGAAAATCGTTTAAAATGCCCCCTAAAAGTTGGCGTATTTTTTTCAGATACCCCTACAGAAGAGGGGTATAATGAAATGCCCCTGAATTTTACATCTGGTCCTGCCCGGCCATCCACAACTTCGCAATATGAACCTGGCTGTTCAGTGCTCGCCCAGGCGCGCATCCCTCTCGCCATCCGCCCCTCTATCCAGCAGACATCTTCTCTCCATCCCCCGGAACAACATTATGGCTCATGGAGTTCCGGGGTTCGGAATGGTGCTTGCGTTGCCTAGTACAGTGGTGGTTTACACCACCGGTACTCGAGCAAGGTAAACACTGTCCAGCACCGGCCTTTCACGGATGTGTACGCCTGCTAAAAGCATGAAAACGGAGTGTTCCCCACCAAACTCAAATGCATTTCGAGTTCCGCCGAGTGGCTTAAAGGACCAATGTTCCCATGACCCGTCTTCCATTGTGTGAAGTATTTTTCACTTGTGGTTTCCCGGTTCTCACCTGCAGTTCCCACCCACCTATCTTGCCGATTACGTTGACAACATCAGTTCTTGCTGTCCACCCTTCCGTCCACGTTCCACAGATCCCGACATGATGTCCCACAAGTTCTTCCTTTGTGAAGTAATTCGATTCTTTCTGTGCTATTCATTTTTAAATGATGACCACATTCTTCACAGATTAATTGATTTTGTTTAAGAAACTTTAAATATAGCATGCTTTTACAGTTGTCACATTGAAGCCATTGCCCTTTGCTGCTAGGATCTGATTCTGGATATTTAGGTTCAGGTGTAGTGAGCAATTTCTTCCTGCTTGCCTTCCAGCCCAGCATCAGCACGCATACCTTATACTGCTACTTACCTTATTGCGTTGATCCACCTGCCTGCCCATTTGCAACTACCATCATCCCCCAAACACACCACACCCTTATAATGGATGCATACAAGCCATCTTTCTGGCCCAGTACGGTGATAATAAGGGTGCTTTACATTCGGGGGAAAGACAGTAGGGTCAACCCAGGCTAGAACGCAAACCATCACTAAGTTTCAGTAGACTGTGAGTGGTTTGGCCTGCATGAGACCTTTACTTCTCGCATTTGTGCACGGGTTGTGCACGTCGTCGGCCATGTGTCAGAACTCCAATCATTCAAAACTCACAAACACACAGCGAGACTCACACCACACTGTATAGACCCTAGTGTAGGTAACTGCGTTGAGATGAAATCATCGTGTTGCACAACACTTGACGCGCCAGACGGATTCTGCCCATCGCCTGTCCAGCTTCTTCAGGCATCATGAGTGAGTACCCAGGGCGGGAGGGTTCATAAGACAGCGTGGTGTGGAGACTAGACACGGCCAAGACGACGATGGACTTAAAAAAAGGGATAGAAAACCACACACACATCCTTAAATTCTCTTATAGGCCCAAACCTTGCAGCCTTTAGAATAGAAAAACATGTCACCTTCGTATCTTACTTCTCTGATAATTGTCTGGTCTTGAACCCAGTATCTGTAAAATTCCGCCCTTCTCTTCTTCTTCCTAAGCCTGCAGTCTTCGGAGTCGAACCCGTTACCTTCTTATCTTAATTCTCCTCTCAGGACCTGATGTCTGCCCGATCTGCATCTGACCTTGAAACCAGTACTTGTGGAAATTCCACTCCTGTAGTAATCGTCCTTCCCAGGACTTGAACCCCGTACCCTCTTCCTACTATACCTTCTTTTTTTTTCTTTTTTTTTTCCTACTTCCTACTATACCTTTTACTTCATTTCACTCCAACTTGAAACCGCAGAGAAAATTGAAGAAACCATGCACAAACCCGGAGAAAACAGGCCGCTTTTTCCCGAGAGCATGAAGTTGATTGAGGTAGTGGGCCTTTCCCACGTACCAAGTGCCAAAAAGTATGAATGTGATCGTTGTATCATTTGCATTTGTCTGCCATGAGCAGCACATTGTGTCATTCATTGTTGTCTGCCATAAGCAGCATACGGTATCATTTATCTTTGTTTGTCATGACCAGGCCCTGTCACGTTTCCCATGCTCAGTGTCTCTCTCTCTCGTAGGCAGAGAGGGAGAAGAGGACAACAAACGAGGGGCTGTGACAAACTGTTTTTTTTGGGAATATCATATATATATAGTATATACCATACCTGTGGCGCATCGCATGCAAGCGAGCTCCGCAGGTGCGGTGCACAGCGCACGTGCAAGCATGTGTGCGCACGTGATGCGGCGCACCCCAATAAATAGGGTTAAAAAAAAATTCGGAGAGGGCTGTGGCTGAGGTAGCCAATGATGCCCCTCCTGAAAAATCTAAGGGCACAGAAAAACAATTGGGCTCACGTATTCCTTGTTGAATAGTCTTTTTTCCCGAAGGACCCCAGCAGTGCATCTGCAAGGGTCCCACACTGCTGGGGTCCCAACATCTCAAGAGACGTTCAGCAAAGTTCGTGTCAGAGGCGGAGCAGGCCAGGATCATATGTTCTGGATCCGAAGTCAGGTCTGTTTTCCTACGAGCAGTTATGGGTTACAGGTTACAACTGCTTGCTACCGTAGCTCTCTTTCTTTTGTTTCGTTTTCCTACGAGCAGTGGCCCTAAGGGCCTTGCTCCACTCATCACTACTAGCACAAAAGACAAAACAGAACATATGGTGGCGTATGGTTCCATGTTCTAGAAGAAGATTCATTCCTCTTTCTTTTGTTTCGTTTTCCTACGAGCAGTGGCCCTAAGGGCCTTGCTCCACTCATCACCACTTGCACAAAAGACAAAACATATGTCGTCGTATGGTTCCATGTTCTAGCAGAAGATTCATTCTAGTTTTGGCACATTTGGTGAGTAGTGGAGGGAAGACCTGAAAAGCGCGTGGAAAAAAAAAAAAAAAAAAAAGAGTTGGCCTGCTAGGGCCCAGAAAATCGTGTGCTCACTGCTCAGTGGTCCCATAACTGCTGAAACAGGACACCATACATACTTGTGTGTCGTGACCCTAGCATGGGTATGAGCATTGCCTCACCGTGATTCATGGTGAGGAGGCCCTTGCTAGTTATCTGCAAGGCCCTCTCGGCTAACCCGCAGGGGTTTTCTTATTAATGTTAAGGAGCTATTGTCTGCTATTTGTTTGCTCTCTCTCTCTCTCTCTCTCTCTCTCTCTCTCTCTCTCTCTCTCTCTCTCTCTCTCTCTCTCTCTCTCTCTCGCGCGCGCGCGCGCGCGCACCCGCGTGTTCTCGCACATCACAGCTGCTTTCTTCTCTTTTTTTTTCTTTTTTTTTTCTTTTTTTTTTTCCTTTTTTTTTTCCTTTTTTTTGTGCATCGGTGACCAGCGCACCGCACCGCATGGCGCACCGCACACTTGCGCCGCAGGTATGATATATACGGTTTACCAGGCAGCTCTGTTTGACTATATATTTTTTCACAAGAGTATCAGAGCGCAAACGCGAACAAAAAGGAAAAAAGAAAGAAAAACAAGAAAAAATGAATTCAGTTTCTTATCTTCTTCCTTATAACTCCCCCTGTTCACAACCTCTTGCATACAAGGCCGCCCACGTGGATGTAGGTTGAGCAGCGGCTGCCCCCACCCCCGTGTGTCATATCGACCCACTTGCACACAGCCAAAAGGCAAAGAGGCAAAGAAAAGAGGAAGGGAACAGCCAAATATAACAGAACAGGGGGCTAAAAAACAGATCCCAGATGACAAGTCCCACATGCAAGCACCGCCCCAACACACACAGGCCAACGACGGGACAAGACCAACCAGGATGTCAAAACATTCTTGTATGTAGTCAAACAGAGCTGCCCGGTAAACCGTAGGCAGAGAGGGAGAAGAGGACCACAAACGAGGGGCTGTGACAAACTGTTTCGTCGGAGTTTCACCGACTCATCAGGAGGCTGAACCCTATATAGTATATATGCACAGTCAGACCAAACGGTGTCGAGTCTGTCAACAGTAAAGGCTTCTGATGCCAGGTGACAGAAGCCCAATGGAATTGCGCAAAGAATATGCTGACGGCAATGAGAATGGTCCCCAACATAACCAGCCTCAATTCGGGCCTTTTTTGTACTTCGTTGAGAATGAGACAAAAGATAATGGGTTTCATTCAGCTCAATAGGGAGTGAGAAGGAAATAGTCACACTGTTACAGCCTTGAAGATGAGAAAAACATGCCTGCACTACACGAATTAACGCAATAAGCCTCGCCTTCCTTCATGCAAAACCAGGAAATAAAACCAGGAAATTGGAAAGAAACAGCCAGCAGAATCATTGAATTGAATAACAAGACACACCTGCCCTTCCCCCCCCCCAACCAAAAGAACTCCTCCGGAGCCCAGCCTTACACACAACCTCATGCATCACCATTCTTCTCTTCAAGCAAACTGTTCGCACTATCAAACACACGCACACACACACACAAAAGAAAACAAAAAAAAACGACGACGACGACAAGTGTCCCAATGAAAATATCAATTGGGTTCCACCCATTGTGAACTTACCTTTGCCCACATTGAAAACTTTTTGATCATCCTTTACACCGAAGCCAGCCACCACGAAAGAAAGGGTTCTAGCTAACAACCTTCCTTGTTCCCAATTATTCAGAGACCTGATCTACCATCAATCACAAACCTTTGCTATCGCCTTCTCCTCCTCGCTCCCCCTCTGGCTTCTTTGTTATTCTCACTCTGCGACGATTGTTGGGAAACCTTCTCTTTCTGGCTAGAGGTGCCAGCAGCATCAGTGATCTCCCCTGCATCTTCATCTGCTGCCCCCCCTTCTTCCTCCACCTTCCCATTCTCTGTAACCCTGCTGTCATGATCCTCTTCCTCTCTCTCATCGTCATCATCGTCGCTATACTCGCTCTCGTACTCGTCATCATACTGTTCATCCACCTCCTCCCCATCTGCCTCGCTATCCGCTTCGTCCTCGTCCCCAGAGGCTGCTGCATTACCAACATCTGCCGCCGTAGCTTGTCCGCGTGTCCCTGCCCTACTTCTCTTCAACACTTTGAGCTTCACATTCGTCTTCTTATCACAACCAATCCATGTATCGCACAAGCACAAAGCGGTCAAATTGTACGTTCCCTCCGCCGGAGCTGGGAACTTGCCTTTCACAAGGCGCGCACCGCTCTTTACCCTCTCTATGACTTTATTGATCGCATCGTGGATGTCCTTCGGGTCAGCACCAGTGCCTTCCATGGCGTCACGAACAGCATTTGTCGCTGCGGTTATCGCAGCCGTCTCGTCCAGAAAACTTATCTGCAAATGCACCAGCGCACAACATGTTAGCCTCTCAGCTATCTCCAATTCACTCGATCCAACTGTCGTGATCCCATACACCAAAAACAGATTGTCACCATCTCTCGGCCAGAAAACAAACATGACACGCAAGACCAAGGGCCTCGCTGTACCACTCAGAACATGCACAAAAGTTTAAAAATTATCATGGCGTTTCACTCCCTGTTCTAGCGGAAGATTCATTCGCATTTTGCACATTTGTTTGCGTGGTGGAACCCGGACTTAGATCTGGCCGTCTGTTCTACGCGATACTGACTTCTCCCCAAAAAACTCCTCTTGGCCGACAATAAATGTCAGGTGGCAAGGTCATGGGATCGATTCCCCGCGTCGTCCTTTTGACTACCCGCGCCCCCCGGTGGCAAGCTTAGGGCCCACAAGCGGAGATATTCGGTTTGGTCCTCCTGACAGGCTGTGTAAAAGTTGGGGTGTTCTCCAGCTCGTGCCAGGTGTTAGAGAGGCTTGGGTGCTGCTCCCAGCATTAAGAAGATGCGGTGTTGGGATTGGATCGTTCCATAACCGTGGGAGGCTCCGGCTGGATGGGAAGCTGTCCCCCATATGAGGAGAAGACAGCTTTGGAAAAAGCAAAAAAAAAGAAGAAGAAAAAGCCAGGTGGCAGAAAAAAAAAAAAAAGGCCAGGTGGCAAAACATGCAACAATCACCAATAAATACTGATTGCATCCTGCTGAACATAATACTGTCAAAGGGCCGCCAGGTTATTCTTTTCGTTGAAAAAAAAAAAGGAAAAGGGAAAAGTACCCAAGCAGCCAGCTCAGGTACTGAAATTCAGAAACAAGCACAGTCCGGATTCGCCTGGATGTGCAGATGCTCACTTGCATGATCTGCAATCGGACGTGCAGATGCCCGGGTGCATTCAGTCTGGGCTATTTCTTTCCCTCGCCCCAAAAGAACAGACAGCAGCACAAGTTGCGCAACAGATTTTCCCATGACATAAAAAGGATTACTTCTGCCCTTCACCCGAACAAAAGATATCAGAGCAACCAATTTTGCCACAGAAAATTTCATACCTCCAGGGGCTTGACCCAGAAAGAAAAGAAAAGAAAAGAAAAGAAAGCAGCATCAAGAGACGAAAAGAAAAGAGACCAACTGCAGACAACATAGATGAGCTACCAGGAAAGAGGCAGGCCATTACACACTACCTAACAAGAAGTATAGCAATCACAGACATACACAAAGACAGAAAGGAAACGAAACCGGTTGTCGAACTTGTCGATGGTTCATCTTCCATTTTCCCACTCTCCCGCTTACATATTCTCCTCCCCCCCCCCCCCCCCCCCCCCCCCCCCCCCCCCCCCCCCCCCCCCCCCCCCCCCCCCCCCCCCCAACCACCACCACCACAATACCTGTACATGGCCCCTAAATTCGAATTTCAAACCATAGGCACACTACCGACTGCACCTGAAAATAACACTCAGGCGTTGTTATATTCAACATACCCTAAATAACAATCAGGCATTCTTATATTCAACGTACCCTACGAACTTCTTTTTCTCCTTTTTTTAAAACATAACAAGTTATTCACAGCTCTTAGAATAGAACACCCGGTGTTGTGTTCAAATGCCGCATTCGTAGAATGCATTGCACAGGGAAAAGGACCGAACTGTCAAAGTAGTGTGCTTCAGTTAAACTTTTCTATTTTGTTTAATTTTATCTTCAAATTGATAAGCAATTGTGACCCTCAGCCAAAAGTCATTTGCTTTGCAATTTGACACATCTTGTTTTTTTTTTTTTTTTCAAAAGAAACAAACCCCTTCTATTCTGGGGGACACGTCTTTTATTTGCAGATTTTTTTTATTTTTTTTTTTAGGGGCATCACCAAATTTGCTACCGACTTACTGAATAGAACCACTGGGCGCAAAAAACAAATATAACGCCTCCTCGGCATTATATTCGTATACAACACCCAGGGCGTTATTTTCGGATGAAGATGGTAGCACCACCTGGACTTGAATCTGGAGGGACTCAGTTAGTTATATGGAACCAGGTCGACATGCGAGGGCACGCCACATATGGACAAGATCACAGGGCACGATACATATGCACAACATCACAGGGCACGATACATATGGACAACTTCCCACAACACGACATCACATGTCGAAATGCCAAGCCTTTTTTTTTCTTTTTTTTAACAGGTCCTCATGGCCCTGGCTCCATATCCACACTGGGAAGCATCGGCCCGGTTCCTATTCCATCGGCGAGTCAAAATTACAAAATGAGCACCCTCACACTTCCTTCTGTGTAGCCAAAGGATTTCCGAACAGTAGAAATGCCAGTTCTGCTTTCCCTTACTCACCTTATGAAAGTTCCAAACCGCATTTGCTTGTATGTCCGCAAGCAGAAGCCAGTATACCTCGTCTTTTGGATAAGGGAAATATGGAGTGTGCGGCTGACAAAGAGTCATTTTATTCCCTCGCTCAATTGACACCCAGGCGCTCATCGTCACCAGGTCCCCCTCCTGCACAAGGTTATCCTCCTCCCCTTCAGTCTCAATGGTGATATCCAACACGATTGTTGGAAGCATTGCAAGAGTTGATTCCACATCCTCGACTTGCTCCTCTGTCAAGCCCGCCACCGATTTCAACATCGCCTGACGATCTTCCAAATCCATATCCCTCAACTCCTGCAAGGTGCGCACCTTCTGCAACACACGAAAACATCAATATTAGCTAAATTCACAAAAATATCCCGATCGGAAAGAGATACCCTTACAACAAGCCATCTCCCTTCGCCGATGAAAGGACGGCTTACGTACAAAATTCTCATCTTATGTCCGAACATATTTTTTGGCATGATTGGCCGCAAGTGCAACATATAGGCTGCAAACCACAGTCTGTTGGTTTTGCATAATCTACTGCAAGTACACACGGCTCCAAGTCCGTGCGACCTGGTACGGGTGACGTGGTCGGGCGAGTGGTGGGTACGTGCGACCACGTCGCACGTATGTGGTCTGGCCTACAACCAGTCTGTTGGTTTTGCAGAATCTACTGCAAGTACACACGGCTCCAAGTACGTGCAACGCGGTCACACGGACCTGAAGACAAGGGGTCGAGAAAAAGGGAAAAAAAGCTGGGGAGGGGGGTTGTAGGCCAGAGTGGGATATCGCGTGCACAAAGACAAAAAAAGGGGGGCAGCTAAACGAAGTTCGGTTTTGAACTTGTCGGGGCTTCCCCACGCTGCCAGGTTGAACCCGGGCCATCCACCTTTGTGCCCCTGAAGTTGTGTCCACCTACGCGCCTGCCGTGCGTTGCCCGTCGCCTGGTCGGCTTCACGTCTCCTGTTCAGAAGAAGCAGTCCCCGGCGTGGTCGTTCACCCATAGCCAGCGCACAACAGTGAGTGGGAACGAGCCGAAGAAGCAGCGGGAGGAGCAAGCCTCATCTCCTGCAGTCGCCAGGTGGGTAACGACTAGCCTCTCTCTCTCTCTCTCTCTCTCTCTCTCTCTCTCTCTCTCTCTCTCTCTCTGTGTGTGTGTGTGTGTGTGTGACAGTGGTAGTAAGCACAACACGGCAGGCAGAAGCAGGGCAGTCAGCATGTGGCAGCTCATTTGCTGTGGGGCGGCTTGCGGCTAATCGTGTCCTGTGAGGCAGAGCACAGCACTTCTTTTTGGTGGGTGCCGGTTGCACAATCGGATGGCTGGCGGCAGCAGGACTGCCATAATCTTTTTTACATGGACCATTTGCGCCATTCAAGATCATCCTGTGATCTGGGCCGTTCGCTCAACCAAAGACGGATCGCCTGGGATCTACGGTATGCATTTGTGTGAACGGCCCAGATTGAAGACTGATATGAATTTTGGGGGTTGGAATGCAATCTGGGCCGTTCACATGCACAAACGGGAAACGGTCTAGATGGGCCTCTGTCTCTTTTTGGGGTTTCTAACTTTCTAAACTACTCTTGCTCTCTTTCAGTTTTCCTCCCACCCTCCCACCCCTCCTGGACACACACATGGCAGGCCTTGCACCACAAAAAATACAGCAGCAAAACCGCCCCTTCGGCAAAACCTTGCAATCATATGCAGATATCACATGATAAGACTTTCAAATAAGGTATCTATACATTGAGATGGAAAAGGGGTCACACACACACACACACACACACACGCACAAGTTTGTCAGACATTGGCATTCTTGTCAGGGTTTGGACCAACAGTTTGCAGCATTGCAGGGTTGGCATCATTAAAGCCAACCACTTTTCTTAGGGGTATAACTAAAACTGGACAGCGCGGTGAGTCCTCCTCCATCAGCCAAATGCATCCCCATCATACTGTCGAGGTTCAGCCTCCTGATGAATCAGTCAATCTCCGACAAAACAGTCTGGCATAGTCATGCTGTCTTCCTGGAGTTGTGTATAGTGGACACACCTCCCTGACCACTCTCCCACACACACACACACACACACACATGCGCGCCCGCACACACACACATGCGCGCCCGCACACACACACATGCGCGCTCGCACACACACACACACACACACACACACACACATGTGCGCCCACACACACACACGTGCGCCCACACACACACACACGCGCGTGCGTGCACGCGCACACATGCCTGCAATTAAAAACAGGGTTCCGTGTAGTGTCACAAACCTTTCGTACAATTTTCTTCACCACAACTTCATCAATGTGGGGTAGCTGGAGAAACTGTGCAGGCCCTTCAGCTGAAGCACCCATTGCCACTGCTCTTTCTGAAACCTTCCTTGCACTAACTGGCACAGCCTGCGACAACATCAACAGTTCCAGCAGCAGGGCGAGGTGGTCAGTGACCATGCATAAATCTTCTGGAAGCTATTTTCACACAGTTGGGGCTGCTGTGCATTCACTTTATTTTCATCTTCGTTTCCCCACCCACTTTATGCTTCCTATGGCCCTCCGATAAACCTCATCAGGAGGAGCAAACTCCAGGTTGATCACCCACCCCGCGCTCTGTATGTGATGATCATCCCGGACATTTCAAAATTCAATCCCAGAAAAAAAATCCAAGCATATCACCGACCTGCCACTCTGTGTAAGGGTCAAGCCGGACACACATTTGAAGGCGGTCTCCATTGACTGGAAGAAACACCAAGAGATGCAATGCGTGTAGCAGAACGAGGTGCTGTCAAATAGCCAACTGCTGGCACTTCATGCAAGGATCCAGCCGGACACATGAAACTTCAGATGGTCTCCTTTTGACTGGAAAAAATGCCAAGAGGTGTAATGGCACAGCATCAGGACGTGCTCCCAAAAAGGCCAACTACTGACAAGCGCTAGCTACGGAGAATTCTGAGCCGACGTACGAACAGCGAACACAAGTCCCCACCGTGAGAGACATTAATGGCCCAACAGCAAGAAGCGAAGTGCTCGGATGTTGCGTACAAGACTCGAAGACATGTTTCTTTACGTTTTGACAGTGTTTGGCTCTAGCCTGAAGGCCTACTTGCGCTTCACATCCTTTTCATTTGAAATTCCCCTTTTGCAAGCACAGCTTTAGAGGCTGCCAGCTCTTGAGGACATCTTCTCACACTCTTCTGTCAGAAGACTCAGACTGCAACTAGGACTTCCTAGACTGAGCGAACGTGACTTCAGTAAGATACATCCAGCCCTGGCCGCAATGTGCAGCCAGATACACATTGGAAAGTGCAACTGCAAGCGCCCTTGCCCGGAGACACAGAACAAAAGTGATCATGGCAATTCTGACATAGAACAAAAGTGATCAAGAAAAGACGAACAAAAAGAGAGGGCATGCAATGCTATCGATTCCCAACTCAAAGTAGGGAGACAAGCCTGAAAAGTCAGTTCAGTGCGCCTGCTCTACATCCTAGGCCCCGACTCAAAAAATCGAAACCTTAAGTATTTCGGGACGTCCATTAAAATTGGAACAATATGACCAAGATTAGCATGGCCCCTGCGCAAGGATGACACGCATAAATCCAGAAATGGTCCAAATTTTTTTTTATTTTTTTTTTTATAGTTTGAATACTCATATGTGAGTATGCCCAAACACATGCCAAAATACTAGGTTTATCGAGATGGACATTTCGGCTGAAGGAATTGTCTTACTTCAAAAAGTCCTGCAGGGGAAAACTGAACCGTATTGCTTAGAGAATGGATACAGTTTGCTTCCTAGCTCAGTTCAAGCAAGGAAAAGAAAATTTTGAAATATGCATTTCTTTATTTTCAGGCACCCCTTTCAAACTCCTCTGGAACTGCTCAGCCCCTTCCTAGAAGACCAAAGACTTTTGAAAATGAGGTCTGAATTTAGGTCCATTAGACAATTGCAAAATACAGCTATGTAAGCTATATAAGCTCGAAACAGCCTTCCCTGTAAGCTATAAGCTTGAAACAGCCTTTCCTGTAAGCTATAAGCCATGAAAGCTATAAGCTCTTTTAACCGCCAGCAGGCTATAGGCTATGCAAGTTATAACCTCTTGAACCACCAGTACTCACCCATAGATCGGCAGCGGGCCCTTGTCGTGTATGCCGCACGTTACACGGCCTTCGGGCCTACCGGACCACGATGGCTGGCGGCGCCAGACAAACGAGAAAAAAAAGCTGTGCTGGCTTGGCGTGCAGGGTGTTCCCAGCATCAGAGAAAAGTGCCTCAGAAGCACTGGTGGTTTAACAATGACAATTGCAAAAGCAATAGCCTTCACTGACGCTGACGAAGATTTGGTAATGCGGAAGACGACAAGGTTCAAATAACAGCATATGAAAGCATGAGCACATAGCAAATTGATTTGCAGGATAGAAGCATATACATCACCAACACTATCGACTCTATTACCACCTTCCCCCGAATAGAATGCACGATAGTTATACCTGTGTTTGGGGCAATTTCCAGTCTGCAATGACTCTGCATACAGCCATAATGACTGTACAATCTATTCAGGGGGAGAGTATCACAGTGAAAACACCACATTGCCAATCCACACCAGTTCAAGCCAAAACCACATCATGATCCACAAACATTGCCGAAGACCAAATCTTAATCCAGTTCAAAACCACAGTCCAGTTCACTGAGCTGCCTGTGCCACGTCTAGTACAAACTGCCGCCAAGTCCACAGCTTCAGTCATTAAAAAGAAGCAAAAGCGCATAACCCTGAATACACCCCTACTGCTCAGGAAGAGTTAGAGGTGTTTGCTGCAAAGCTCAATCAAAATCGGGTCAGCAACACACTGGTAGAGCCCAGATAGAACTTTCCCACACAAATGAAATTCTCTTGGCTAAACGAAATTACTATCGGAGCCTTCAGTGTTGCTGATATACCTCAATATGCAGTTCGGTGGGATCTTCATGCATGATCCTCGTCTGGTTTCATAAGGCCTTTCTCACAAGATGTAACTTGCTCTCTTGCTCTATATTCTTGCATGCACAAGATAACATGCAGCCAGGTGGAATTAGGGCAGGATGTGATGGGGATTCATTGTTTGGTGACACGGGAGGGAGGGAGGACATAAGACTCGAGAATGCTCTGCCGCCATGACTGACCTGCATAATGCACTGAGAGAGCTCAATGACTCCAACGGCCGGCCGAAACCACCCAAATCCAGTATGATCACGCTGAACAAGAGCCATCTGCATCATGATGTACAAAGCCCCGTCCCAAGCAAAACCCAAATGTACAGTGAGTGCACAGAAGGCTGTCTTCTACCAGTTCACAAGCATGCATGAGGGATATCATCATTATTTTTAGAACATGTTCATTTACATTTAGCCCAATCAACTCCCAGGTTAACAGAGCAGCAATCATTCAACAACCGCCATCTTCCAACTCCACCAATGCAGAAACCCGTGGCAAAAGCCAAGGCGACTATCACAAGCTTGAAAACCTTTTTCTCATAACTTAACAGAAACGCTCGACCAGATACACGCACTCTGAGCTGCCACATACGGACCCATGTGCCCCACAATTGTCCGGGAAACCAAACAGCAAGCAATCAGGAACAAGGACGCATCATGCTCAAAAGGACAGCACATTCAATCTATATTGCGATTACAGTTCTCACTCATCACGCATGATCCGTATGCACAGCAAGGGGGGTAGGGGAGAAGGGGGTTGCTGTCGTTGTTATTGGTGTTTTTCGAGAGAGAAAGAGCAAGAGAGTAGGAGAGACAGAGCCAAGAGCGAGACACAGAGAGCAATGAATAAATGGAACCTGTAGAGGTGCTTGTTGAACCTTACCTTCATTAGCTCTTCAAGCAAGGGAGGGGAAAGCTTAAGAATGTGATCGAGGTCGCCCCTCAGCCCGGGAGGCACTTCTGCTCCTTGACGAGTCAAATGGGCAAACAGTAGAAGTTCCACCTGTAAAACACCAGCCAAACCATGGCCCCAAGACGCCGTCAGTTCTGTCTGCCGACCAACGACACTGCGCAGGACGGATGCTTGAAACAAACTTCTATCAACCAGGCTACAACCTTCTATGCTGTCCGCTATGATCTTGTGAGCCAGTCCACTTGAACAAATGGGCAAGCATAGATCGCCTCCACTCAACAATGTTCTTGATTTCAATTAAGCAACCCCTGTTTGCCCAATCACTGTTGTCTTCACCACCCAAACTCTTCTCCCTGATGCTTTCAAGTTTAAACTATTTTGTTCCTTTTTTTCTATATTTGCTGCTATAAAGTCCTGACACAAGCAAAACCGCTATTGGTGCACGTGAAAACAACTCACTCACACGAGATAGCCGACAGTTAAGTGGTGAGCCGTAAGCACTCTTAACTGAAGACTCGCTTTAATGATTCCGCTTCGTACAGGTGCAAGCAACAACATTGTGCTGTGCATGTCAAAACAATGAAGTTGCACTAGCTCGCGTATGAATGACTGAAACACATCTCCATATGTTGGTTTACAGCTCAACAGTCCAAGTACTGATTGGTACTACAGACCTACAAAAAAAAGGCTCCTTTTAATTAATACTCTTCCCGTTGTGCTCTACACACATGGACAGAGACCGACGACGCCTCTTCTCGGTTGAAAACAGCTCTACAAGAGTGCAAACCATTGCTCACAACTCTGTATTAATGCAAAGCAAAGCACACCAAAATGATTGTTTAACAAGCCACATTGCAATGAACCAGCTCAACTTTTAACTCCAATCGCAACCATGCATCACACCGAATTCCACACAGATCCCTCAAACAATGCAGCGAGGTAGCAATTCGCTGGAAACCGAAATGATTGTTCCCAAAACAGCAATATTATCCAAGTTAATAGTACATGTGGCTATGGCTACCAGCTCATCAACCTCGCTCATATAAGTACTCTCTCTCTCTCTCTCTCTCTCTCTCTCTCTCTCTCTCTCTCTCTCTCTCTCTCTCTCTCTCTCTCTCTCTCTCCCTCTCTCTCTCTCTCTCTCTCTCTCTCTCTCTCTCTCTCTCTCTCTCTCTCTCTCTCTCTCTCTCTCTCTCTCTCTCTCTCTCTCTCGGTACCTTATTGGCTATGGTGGTCATCTTCGTCCCAGCTAGCCCTAGCTATGGTCCCCAAGCGCTCTTCCTCAATCTCCCCAACCAGTCTACGCGTATGGTCGCACAAGCGTTCAGCAGAGTTTCCGCAACACACGAAGTGACAAGTGCCTTCCTGGGAGCAACATAGCTCTATAAATAGCAGCTGAGTTGAGGTCTTTGTCAGCTCGGGACCAGTAATGGTCTCCCAAGGCCTGCCAGCTGCACTTTTGCAAGTTCTGGAACCCAGACTTTCCCAGGATGCTGCTGCCAAATTTGGGCTGGGGCTTGGACTTTTCTTCTCGGGTACCGAGCCTACCAGACTTCAAACGACCCTGAACTTTCAGCCAGCCTACTGGAATCTACCGACATACGGACCTAAGTATGGCACTTCCACCGCTGGGCCTGCCAAATCAGTTACTTCCGTGGGACTGGGACCATTGGAACTTTGGGACCGGGACTCGGTACACTAACTGTGGCACGAAATCCTTTTAATATCTTCCTTAGCAGACAATTTGACTGCTATTATGCCAACAATTTTGACTAACGCAACCAGACTGCCTGACACAAGACAGCATTAAACCACCAGTACCTCGCCCAGGCAAACTTGAGAATGCAACATTCCAAGTTTTTCGGATGAGCCGTTCTACTGGACCAAAAAAGATCAGAAATGAGCAGCTGGTGGTTCGTTTTCTTTTGGCGCGCAGTGCGAATCCGCATCGGGAAAAAGAGGCCTGGAGGTACTGATGGTTTCAAGAAGTGACTGTCAATGAAAAGCAGTCATGAATGCCGCTTACATGCATCATTCATGATGCTAGCGAGGTCCTCCGCCCCTCCCCGTTCAGCACAAAGCGAAGCTCATTTCACAAAACGTCATTCAGCCTCTCCCGTCTGACCGCATTGAAGTAACTTCTCCCGCATCGAAATCACACCACTCTCACGTCATTACAGCCCGATAGGAACAAATTCTATCGCTGGATTATGCATCCATGTCCTTCGCACTAATGCTACTGTTGCTTACTTTTCCATATACCCTTTAACATGCACTGTGAAAAGGCATCATCTTCATTACTTGTGGCAGTGATAGTGCCTGGCTACCACCACTGCAATATAATCCACCTCAGTTCTTTCTTTTCTTTTCACATCTTCTTATTACTTCCATACGAACAGCAGGATAACCTAGTGCCTCCGAGAAAGGCAGGTAACGGCAAATCAAGAGAATAATTAGACAACTGCATCTGACATGGCAGATGCCATCAGATGGCACACAGCCGTCGTCTGACCGGAGTGAAAAGTACGATTTGTTGCATATCTGGCAATGCATCATAGCAACGCGAACAGCTTAGGAGGAAGGGTCATGCCTTTCCAAACCTTGACAAGCGATGGATGTCGCTTCCAAAACTTGGCTTGTTCCTGCTTCAGGTTATTCGGATCAAAGTTCAGATTTGACCGAACCAGTGTAAATAGCCTTTGAAGGGGCTCATCATCGCTTCGTCGAACAGGCATTTCCATGAACTCGCCAGCCCTCGTAAATACATCCATCACCTTGCTGCCTTCAAACAAGGTCCCACAAACATGTCCAGACACATACACCAAGAGTCTCATAAGTTACAACCCTCAGGCAACCTCATAGGCAATCAAGTATAGCACAGACCATGACCAGCACGGTTGGCAGACTCCAAAAAGCAATAGCATTCCCAGTCCCAGGAACAAAGTAGTGCCACAAACCATTGGACAGCACCCAGCACCAGATAGACAAACACGGATTCAAATAGAACAGACACTCAATCCAGAAGACGAGCACCGTCGTAGAAGCCATGTGCTCAGTAGGAGATGGCAGCTTTGGTTGCACGACTAGCAGCAAGCAGAGGACAGAGAGACTTCCCAAGAGGATGCAGCTGACAGTCAAGGAAGTATCAGAGCGGCCGCCATATGTCCGCCTACCTTCTTCACCAGTTTGGAACATACGGGGTCATTATTGTTGTACTTTGAGCAATTTTCAGTGTAGATACTGAGAAAATGACCGTAAGTTCTATTTGGGTGATGACAGCAAGTATCGTAACATGCCCAAACCTGGCCTTGCCTGCAAAGATACGACTGGTTGGGTGGTGTACGCCCCCAAACATGCAGCAATCTCTCTACATAGAGCTGGGCCCGATTCTTCAGAAGGGCATAGAGGTGATTTAATGAGGCTTGCAACAGTAGCTTTTGACGTTTGCTGGTTTACATTGGCATCCGTACATTTTCCAGGTTTTGCAACTGTGAAACAGGCATTTTATAGATATGGACCGTGCCATTTGCCACACAAAACTACCAAGTCAGAACTAAAAAATCCAACTTTAACCCTCCTTTTGGAACACTGTGGACCATGACGCACGTCCAACCAGTTAGCACTGCACATACCTTTCTAGCATTTCATTGCTTATTCTGTGTCATCATTTACTCTGCGGACCCTGAATCTTTTGCTTTCACTCTCTCCCTGTGCTACCTACCAGCCTAGACATCCGAGCCACCGTTGTAACTAAGTAGCAAGTGTGTCTCGAACAGCATAGCAGTTTGTAAATAGTAGAGTGCATCTAGTACAAATGGACTAGCAGGTCTGAAGCCCCATCCAGACCTTTTCCGAAGTGGGTCCCCAGAGCGGGTCTACCATAAATGGACTATAGCAGGTCTAAAGCCCCCTTCGGACCTTTTCCAAAGAGGGCCCCTGGTGTGCGTCTAGTATAAATGGACTATAGCAGGTCTGAAGCACCCTCCAGACCTTTTCCGAAGTGGGTCCCTCCTATCCGCAATGAAATACCCAAACATTTTACGGAATTCCATTGTGGCAGGCATTCTGGAAAAAAACAGATTTTTGGTTCGGAAAGAGAAACACATCAAGAGCTCGCATGGATGGTCATCAACATTCTTCATAAGTTTGCTAGTGAGAGAGAGAGAGAGAGAGAACACTGAAAGAAGAAAAACAGGGAGTGAAGAGCGATAAGAACCAGTGCACATTTAAAATTAAAAAAAGGCTATTCCTCAAGACATTTTAAAGACATTGGCGAGATAGAAAGGGTCGAGAGAGAGAGAGAGAGAGAGAGAGAGAGAGAGAGAGAGAGAGAGAGAGAGAGAGAGAGAGAGAGATGTTCCTTACGTGGGTGCTAATGAAGGCTTCATGAGATGAAAATAGCTGTACAGCGTGTGATTCATGATGAAGTTCCCCGTGTACTTGGACGAATTGATCAGGTATACCACGGCAATCATCAACGGAAGAAGGATCCCAACTCCCACCAGGCCTGCCAACAGGATGCCCCCTGTCGCTCCATCAATATTGAGCATAAATGCTGGAAGTGCAATTCCCACACTCATCCCCTGTGCACACATCCGCCCACCCATACTCACTCGAATGGGGGGGGAAACCAACCCACAACCAACAGGCGATCAAACACATCCCTGACATCCCTTCTCCCTCCTCCCCATTTTCTCCCATTCATGCATCAGCAGCCAGCCAGCGACACAAACACCTTGTATTATATTATTGGGTCTCAAACGACCACAAATCACATAGGAATCCTCTGGATATTGAGATAATAATCACACAACGAACTGGGGCACAACATGAAAGCGCAGCAAACACAGACCAAATGGTGCAGAGGCAAACTGCATAAAGCAGAGACAAACACACATGCATAAGAAACACCCTCAAGTCACAGAAACACACGCGAATATAGAAGCATGGTTCCATCCACTCCGCCCCTCCCCTCCGCCCACAACAAGGTGGGCACACTCTGTTTAAAGACCACAACCCACATTTGCTGCCCATTATGTCCTACTGAAAATCTCCAACCACCCACATTTCCTGCCCATTATGCGATACTAATAACAATCTTCAACTACCCACATTTGCTGCCCATTATGTCGTATTGACCATCTCCAACCACCCACATTTCCTGCCCATTATGCGATACTAATAACCATCTTCAACTACCCACATTTCCTGCCCATTATGCCATACTAATAACAATCTTCAACTACCCACATTTGCTCCCCGCCTTAACACCATACCACTGCTCTCCAACAGTTCCGCATGCAGGGGTGAAAACAGGGGGCAGAAAGAAACTTTCTTCCATTTTTTTATCCCTACCATATAACCCAATTGGCAGATTACAACAGTTAATACAGAGTTTCAGCTGGGATAGCATTGCCACAATTTTAAGGGGAGCACCTAGCTGCCACTGATCACAGCGCATTCTTGGACTGCAGGACAACCAAACTCAGCGGCGAGGCGATCGTAAGAGCTGTTTCGATGTCCACCGTCTTTAAAACAGGATTCCAAATGTGTGGGGGCAGAAAGAAACTTTCTTCCATTTTTTTATCCCAAAGGTATAACCCAATTGGCAGATTACAACAGTGCATACACAGTTTCAACTGGGATAGCATTGCCACAATTTTAAGGGGAGCACCTAGCTGCCACTGATCACAGCGCATTCTTGGACTGCAGAACAACCAAACTCAGCGGCCAGGCGATCGTAAGAGCTGTTTCAATGTCCACCGTCTTTAAAACAGGATTCCAAAAGCACCACATTTTTGTTAGCGTTTCTCTTTTGTTGGACGGTGCATGGGATAGCTTTTTCGCATGGCTGCAGCGACGAAAAGAGTTCCGTTACCCAGGGGGAACTACCACATTACGACAAAAGGGGTTGAATTGACAGGAAGAGCCTCCTTCCAAAGGAGCGGACATACACAGCCATTGTTTCACATTCAGAACTCCCACTCAGGAGAGCGGAGGTACATGCACGATTCTTTCGCAAACCAAATGAATAGCTCCATGGAGTAGCACAGCAAGAACTTCAACATTAACCCACCATTACCTCCAAGACTAAACTGTAGCGGGGAACGGCCTACCGGCCATTGCCAGCCTTCTCGGTATGGTAGGCCACCCCCTTTTTTTCTCGGCACCTGGTTATTAGGGGTTGGCAGAGGGTAGAGGGTAGTCGGACGGGGTATCGGTGGTTTAGCAAGACTGGAGTCATACAAGCCAACAAAACGTCAAAAAGGAAGAGGAAAAGAAAAGAACAAATTATATATCGCCAAACAGAACTGGCCAGTAAACCATAGGCAGAGAGGGAGAAGAGGACTACACACTAGGAGCTGTGACAGGGCTATGACAGACTGTTTCATCACAGTTTCACCAACTCATCCGGGGGGTGAATGCGATACATAAGACTAATATTTAAGGGAGAAAAGGGACAAATGGGCAGAAACGTTTGGGGTCAGAAATCAAGTTCAACGAATTTCATTCAAGTAATAGAGAAAAAGTTTTAAAACTTGAAAAAAGGAAAAAAGAAAATATGGACATATCCTAAGGTCCCATACTTCGGGAAATCTATACCTTCTTTTTACTAAAATGGCCAACGAAAAAAAAAAAAGGCCGCAAGTGCTGCATGCAACTGCATTTGGCCACCACGTACAGCCAAATCAGCAATCAGCAAACTCAAAAGCGTCCACAAAAAAAAAAAGAAACTGGACAGTGGCTCAAATGACAACTGGAAAGAAATTCTGGATTCAGCTTTTTATACCTGGTGCCCATCAGGATGACCGTACTCTTCATAATTCTTTCTGGCTGTTTCATCCGTCAATGCTTTGTAAGCCTTCGCAATCTTTTCCGCAAAGTATTTTGCCGCCTCTGCAGACAAATAGAACATCAACACCACATGCATCATTAGCATACACTGCCATCTCCAAACGTATTTGTGCAGAAATTTAGAATCCAGTAGTAGAATGCGAAAAAGGTGAAAAATGTATCTACAAACAACATGGCCCGGACGTGTCTCTTACCCCTTAAAACATAAATAATAAATATCGGTTTGCCCACGGTTACAATCCGTACATTCAATATCAATGTGCATCCACTGTCCAGCGTATTTTCTGCAGTTAAAGTCAATGAGAATTTCCAAAAATAGCAGAAAAAGAAGCTTCTCTGTGCAGTACAGGAATGTGAACAACCTTTGGCTGAAGGACACCTCAGATTCCTCAGCAAAGCCAAAAAAAGAAAAGGGAAGGGCATATTGCTGAACTCTTCTTTCAGGTTCTTTTGTATTCAACGCAGATGGAGTCAGCCAGACAGTCTTGAGATCCACTGTCTTTCACTGAAAATAAACCATGGTCATCATGGCTGTATCTGGCCCAAAAATACCTGCGTACGGTGGCAATGAACACACCATGCGACACAGAAGATACAAGGTCTGTTGTACATGTTCTAAATAAATGGTACTTTTGTTAACTTCCTAAAGAGTATTTTGTTCACCTGGTCATTGCAGGGCCGGTTCACCCGGGAAAACAGGGTGACCCGGGCGGCCCGGCTGGTAGCAAGGAATTTTTTGAATGTGTCCCCCGCAATTTTGGGGTCCAACCGAAGCTGCCACCAATTTGCTGAATACTAGCTAAGGGCCCACTGTGCGGGCGACGCCCGCAGAAATAACAAATGCAGTGGGTGACCTCACACTGCATTTCAGATGGCTCGCTTCCAAGATGTCCGTCCGCAGAAACAACGACGGCCTACCGGGGGGCACAAAACGACAGCTGCACGAGAAATGAAAAAAGAAAGGAAAAAAAAAGGGGAGACACAAAACGACAGTCGCAAGACATGAAAAAAGGAGAGGGGGACAAAACGAAGGCCAACCAGGGGAAACAAAACAAAAAAAAGCCACCCACATATCGGATGGCTCGCCTCCAAGATGTTTGTCCGCATCAACGCCAGTCGTGTGCCCCACCCCCGGGCCGCACACTCTCGTTTAATGGCATGCAACATTTCGGTACGCACACCCCTCTGCACACTCCCCCGCCCTCGATCGCCTTCATCCGCCACCCCTCACCAAAACTTCGACCCGAATCCTGCACGCAGCGCATCAAGGACCTCCCCCCCGCGGCCAATGTTGCTTAAGGGATAGGATAACGCCCGCGCGTTACAAGCAAATATAACGCCCCGCGGATGTTATATTCGTACACAACACCCGGCTTTATATTCGGCGCGCAGCGCGTCATGGACCTTCCCCCCATGGCCAATGCTGTTTAAGGGGTAGGCTAACGCCCAGGCGTTACAAGCAAATATAACGCCCAGCGGGCGTTATATTCGTATACAACGCCCAGACATTATATCTGTGTACAACCTGGCATTATTTTCGGGTGAAGTTCCCTGCCTCACGCGACTGGCCCGACCATCAAATTTTAGCTTGTTTGCCCTAAAAGGCCCTTAGGAATTGGAAGTCCCTTCAACGAAACAATCTTCCAAATTCATTGGACAATCAGCAGGCACGCCATAGCTTACAACCATCTAGAAATTGTCCGGAAAATGCGGATAAACCTGCTACCCCCAGATGTTCCGGTCAGATGATCCGGCCAGGAATGCTGTGCTACCTAAACCTTTTCCCTCTTTATATCCCTTTATTTTCTCTTTTCTTTTCTCTTTTGTATCCCTCTTTCTCTTTTCTGTTCTCCTCCTAAAAGGGCAGCAACCTTGAGATATCATCATCGGACTGACCGGCTCCACGAAATTCAGCGTTACTTAACTGATCCCATCAGGATTCAAAATCAGGTCTGTTTATCAACAGCTGATGGGTGCTCTTTTGCTTCTTCTTGACAGCAATGGCAACTTAAACAGGAGTGATTAACATGGTGTCCATTGTTGACTTTCTAAGTCAACATTTCTTTCAGAACTAAAAATAACAACACACAATCTCTGCGTTACAATGCTTTTCCAAAAACAATGGGGGGGAAAACCGTACCAGGGACCGGAGGGGTTGGGCAACCATAGAATTGGACCAGGAAGTAATACCCAGCAAGTTTCCTGACAGACAAAAATTTTGAAAAAAAATCAAAAAAATAAATAAATAATAAAAAATCAGAAGTCCACCGATGTCGCTACAGTTGCTAAACATATACCGCACCAAGTGATCAACCCAGTCGAGGATACGAAGGACCACCTTGGTTGCTTACCTGGGCTAGGATTCTTATCAGGATGGTATTCGAGTGATTTTTTGCGGTATGCCTTCTTCACGTCGGCCAACGTCGCGCTGTGTTGGAGTTCAAGAATGCTGAAAGGATCAAATGGAGCTGCCTGACAAGTGATGCACACACCACCGCACCCTGTCAACCGATCTATCGGTGAAAGTACTCTTTTGCTCCCTCAGATTTCCCAAAAGTGAACTATTTCCTTTCCGCAGCCTAGGCACTGCTCTCTCAAACATGCGATAGCAAGTCTCAACTTTCCAGCTTTAAATCGCCAGTACATCGCCCGGGCTTAACCACATCCAAGTTCATTCTCAAGCACATCATATGTACCAAATAAGTGAGTTCGTCAGTACCTGGGTACATCCAAGTTCAAAGAACTGAGTTCGTTCTCAAGTACATAGTGAGTATGTCGATATTGACTACGACGCACTGTCTCTGTGACAAAATGTTTTTTTCTTTAAAAACAAAGAAAACAGCAGTTCTTCCTACATGTTCCTTTGTTCAGGAGGACTCAGGACTAGCAAAAGGCATGGGTGACAGAGAAACTTGCAGGATGTGTACATTACGCCGGACTCCATCTGTACGTAACATGAACCAGATGGTGTCATGATCAACATCTGAACAACAACCACCCTTTCCCGCAGCATCTTCTACAGGAAAGAGGAAAAACTGAACAGTTTCCAAGGTGTGACAGTTTTCCAAGGTGTGACAAAAACTCTATTTGCTGTGAGTTTCCGTTGTATTGTACAATTCAAAATTATTGGGTTCGGAAATTTTGTGAAGAAAGACGACCTGTCGGTCAAATGCAGCCTCTGAACTCCAGGTATATTATGTTCATCTGCATTCTCAATAAAATATTGAATACAATATAACAAAACAATTGATCGATATGCAAGGAATATGAGTGTGAACGATATACACAAAACCAATCTGCAAAATCACACAGATGTCCAGGTAGTCATATCCAAGCAGAGAGTACAAAATGCACCAAGAAACCATCCATATAGAGCAATACAATGAAGTAATGAGCCAATGTTCAAGCCCGTAGGCCACACCAATACAGTATCCAAAGTCGCTCCTCTCCTGTATGGCGCCCAGCGCCCAAAGTCGCTCCTCTCCTGTATGGCGCCCAGCGCCCAGCCTACTCTGCCCGACTATCCTACCTACAGCTGGTTCATGCAACAGGCTCACTTTGACTCTCAAAGACCAATGTACATAACTGTCAACACCATAGCTGACCTCTCTTCATGCACCAGGTACGCATCTCGTCACCCTCAATCAGACCTTGATTACCCACACTCGCCTCCTTCCCTGAAGACCACCTGATCGCCCTCCTACCCCCTTGTGCCCAGCAGCCCGGCTATGGCTGCCTGCGCCCTGCTGCCCTGCAGCGCCCCACCTCCCCACTACGCGCCCCGTCAGCGCCCTTGGCAGCAGCGCAGCATCAAGCGATAGCGCAGCAACACCTCCGCATTGCCGGCACTGGCCAGAATACCTGGCCTGGGCTGCCTCACTTCTTTTAGGGAAGTGGCAGCCTCCTGGATGCTGCATGTGGCCTGGCTGGAAGCTTCCAGTAGCTTCCGGTTGGGCCTCAGACCCTGTGCCCAGGCCCGAGACTACAGTTGAGGGCCTGGGCCCTTTTCAGTTGGGCACGGCCTGAGCATCCGGACTTGGGCTGTTTGCTGCATCTGTGCAGGGCTCCCAGGTAGGTGTGTCGCCAGTACTGCTTTTCCAACGGCCGATGGCCTGCTTCCCAATGTATCGGCCCTGCTTTGTGTGTATGTGCCCAGGCGCAACTGTCAAAGCCTGGGCCAACTGTATGACGCAGCTTAGTGAAGCTCACGCATCTACCCAACCAACTAGCATGCTGCAAGAGCCTGAACACCCACATATGGAAATGTCAAATTTTGGCCTCTGACGAATATTCAGGCCCACCTTCACTTAGGGCGGGCACTCGGCGTGCTGGGGTATAGCGACAACACGCACTCACACTGACGCCCACCCGCCCGCAACATGGACTCACACTGACGCCCGCAGCACGCACTCACACGAACGTCCACCCGCCCATCCACCCGCGAGCGCAAGCACACGCACAAACACACGCACACAAATGCATCATGGGCAGCCTGTTGGGGTTCGGTTCCTAATGAATTATGAAATCCAACGAAAGTCTGGCACAATCATGCATTCTTTGGAGTGCCTGTGCACGTGCACGTGAGAGAGAGAGAGAGAGAGAGAGAGAGCCCAAACACCCCAGCATGATGACTGCAATACATCGCAGTTCCATAGCTGGGGGTTGGGAAACGAAGTTGAAGATCGCACTGCTGCTATTCTGCGGCTCTGCACGAGAGCTTCCACAGGACTGTGTT